GATCTGCCCACCTCAGCCTCCCAAAGTGTTGAGATTATAGGCGTTAGCCACCGCGCCTGGCCAGGCGACAGTTTTCTAAACAGGGTCAAAACAGTGAGCTTATTGGTACAAATGGATGTGTATAAATGATGGTGAAAGAATAGAGGCAGAAGATTCTACATCTGCCTGTGGAAGTCAGAATAGACTTTATATGAGATAATCTTAAATTTGGACTTGAAAGATAAGTAGGTGAGTGTTAATTAGTCAAGGTTAGTTAGAAGGCAGATTTTGCGGATAGGAATTATATATGCAGAAGCAACAAAAACCATGAAAGGAGTATGAGAGTCAAAGCAATTAGGTATACTACAGATGATCAAGTCAAGTCTGAGGTCAGATTTTGTGATTTTTTTTTTTTTAATGCTGACTTTGTCACTTTTTTATTTTAAGCTCTCTTAAATCTGGGTGCAGTGGCTCTGCCTATAGTCACAGCACTTTTGAGGAGGCCAAGATTGGAAGAGCACTTGAGGTCAGGATTGAAACTAGCCTGGGCAACATAGCATGACCCAGTCTCTACAAAAAAAAAAATTAAAAATGAGCCAGGCATCTTGGCATGGACCCTGTAGTCCTAGATGCTCGGGAAGCTGAGGTAGGAGGATCCCTTGAGCCCAGGAGTTCAAGGTTGCAGTGAGCTGTGATTGTGCTACTGTACTCCAGCCTGGGCAACAGAATGAGACCCTGTCTCAAAAAAAAAAAAAAAAAAAAAAAAGAAACTGCCTCATGGATATGTTGGTAAAATTAAGTTTGGTGCATGACATGTAAGTATTCAATAAATGTTATTGTTATGATTATTTTTCTTTTCTTTTTCACCAGCCCTCATTATTATAAAGTAAGCTTTGGGAGGAAGGACCCCTATTATGCTTTTCCATTATGCTTCATAGGAAAATTATAACCATTCATCCAAGTGTGTTTAGCACATTGTACTTATCTTGAGGAACAGTGGGAATAAGAGAGACCTGCTGTTACGGAGTTTACAGGCCAGGAGAATGCAGACATTTATAGATTTTTTTAAAACCCTACATATAATAAGTTGTATAGCATTACTCAAAGGGGTAAATTACAAGGCATCAACCTAAAGTGAGTATATACCAAGAGAACCCAATGATACCTCGTGGGTTGTTAAAACCTCTTTGAAACCTGGAAGCTGAGTAGGAGTTAGCAAGGAGATGGCAGCAGTACATTTTATTAGGTAAAAAGAGAAGAATTTCAAATCCCACAAGGTCGAAGGAACTGGGCACTTTTGAAGAACAGGGAAAGGCCAGTGAAGAACAGGAAAAAGACAAGGGCCTAGATAGAAATGATATGAAATAAGTCTGTAGAGGAAAACAGAAACCAGATCAGGTAGACTTTTTAAGCTACATAAAGGATTTTGAATTTTTATTCTAAACTCAATGATAAACTATTTTTGAAGGGTTTCAGTGGGGTAGAAGCAGTGCGCATGAGCTATCAGATGGGGCTACTTTTTAAAGGCCTTTGTGGGCCATACAAAACCATTGTAGCTTTTAAAAAAGAAAAAGGAAAAATACAAAAATATCTGTCTAGCCCATTCTTTCACCTGAGTAAATCCCAACACTGTAACCAGTTGGTGTACATCCTTTTCAGATTTTTCCCTAGGAATATACAAACATGAATTTAAAAATACATGTGTGTGTGTGTGTTGTAAATTTTGTTTTGTTTTGAGACAGGGTCTCACTCTGTTGCCCAGGCTGGAGTGCAGTGGTACGATCCTTGGCTCACTGTAGCCTGGAACTCTTGGGCTCAAGGGATCCTTCTGTCTCAGTCTCCCCAGTAACTGGGACTACAGGCACACGCTACCATGCCTGGCTAATTTTTAAATTTTTGTAGGATAGGGTCTTGCCATTATTAATAGTTGACCATGTGGTTTTGACCTCCTAGTCTCAAGTGATCCTCTCACCTTGGTGTGATTACAGATATGAGCTGCCATGTCCATCTCGTAATTTGTTTAAGTAACAGAAAATGAGATTATACCACATGTACACACCTAGTATTATAAATACTGTGTTGCAAGTTTTATGTTTTTGGACTTTTTCTGTCAGTTCTTAGAGTTTTCTTGTGTTGTAATCCTTACGGTATTCCATTTCATGGGGGTTTTTTAGTCCTCTCTTGGTGAACTTTCGGTTTCCCTCTCATATGTTACTACTAAAAACAAAGCTGCATTTGTGAAAGGATGTTAATGTCTCATTAGGAAGATGCAAGTTAAAACCACAGTGAGATGTACCATGGCACACTTACTAGGATGGCTAAAATTAAATAGACTTAACATTAACCATAGCAAGTATTGGTGAAAATGTGGAGGAACTAGAACCTTCAAACACTGTTGGGGCTGTAAAATGGTACAATCACTTTGAAAAAAGTTCAGCAGTTTCTTTAAAAGTTAAATGTGTATTTGGCATAATGTGAAGTCATTTTGCTTTTATTTACTTGCCAAAAGAAAACTGGAAATATTCTATATGAAGATTTGTACTCAAATGTTTATAGCAGCTTTATTTGTAATAAGGCAAAAACTGGAAACAACCGAAATATCCACCTACAGATGAACGGATAAACAAATTATGTGTTCATATAATAGAATAACTCAACAGTGAAAAGGAATGCACTTAATCGAACAGCATGGATAAATGTCAGAATAATTATGCTGAGTGAAAAAAACAGATGAAAAAAGCGTATAGTATATACTTCAAATTATATAAAACTCTATGGGGAAAAAACCCTAAAGCTGAAGAAAACAGATGATGAGTGGTTGGTTGAGGACAGGTTGTTTAAGAGAGGGATCGATTAGCATGGGGCATGAGGAGTCTTGGGAATGATAGACAAGATCTGTTTACTATTCTTGATTTTGGTTTCCCAGTTGTATACCATGTGAAAATACTTTAAACTTTCACATTAAGTCCTATGCTTTGAGTATGTTTAGTTTATTGGATGTCATTTAAACTTTAATGTCGTTTGTAAAAAGCTGCATTGAGGCACGATGTGTATGTAATTTTAAACACACATATTTCTGTAAGCTAAGTTGGTAGAAGTGTAATTACTGTACCAAAGTGATTATACATTTAAATTTCACATAGATATTAACAGGTTGCTGTACAAAAAAATACTGTGCCAGCTTATATATTTGAAAATGCCCATTTTTTGCACTGTCTTCTCAATATGAGTAATCATTCTTCCATCTTTTCCAATCTGATGGATTAAAATGACATTGTTAATTTTATTTTCATTTCTTTGATTAGTGAAATTGGTTTTCTTACATTCATTGATTATTTTTATTTATTCTGTAAATTATCTTTGTCTTTTGTGAAATGTCTTTGCTCATTTTCCTATTGGACTGTGGTTGTTTTTTTAATTATTGAAATTATAAAATATCTGTCATATTTCCATGCACTTATTCAGGGATGCTCACAAAACATTGCTTTAACGAGTAAATGAATTAATATATTTCCAGTTAGACTTTTAACTTTATTTATGGAGACGCTGTATTCATGTCTAGTGAAACCCAGAGGTGAATGCTTCAGCTAGTTACCTCCCTGTTGGAGGCTATAATGAGACGGATGCCCTTTAATGTACTTCCTTTTTGCCTCTTCCTGACCTGTCCATTCTCTAGCCTTAGAGTTACTAGCAAGAGATACAAATTGCAAGTGAGGAGTATAAAAAGGAATGGAAATGGGTAACGTGATTTTCATGTCTGTTTTGAATCGTCTTTGTTTTTAGGTGGGATGCAGCTCCATTTTCATCTCTGGCCCACATTAGGTACTCCCTCATAACAGATCTTCCAGCTGACTTGAGTTGCAGCTGGGGATTTACCTGTAGTTACAGCTTTACAAGTGCATCCTTGGCCAACAGCTGTGACCACAGGATAACACAACTGCTACTGTCCTTTATCGCTGTAACTAACCCACTGCCTACTCTCACCTTCAGCCTTTCATGCCTTTGGCATGGGTTTTGTTTTGTTTGTAATCCCAGTACTTTGGGAGGCTAAGGAGTACAGATTGCTTGAGTTCAGGAGTTGGACACCAATCTGGGCAATGTGGCAAAATCTCATCTCTACAAAAAAATGCAAAAACTAGCCAGGCATGGTGACTCATGCTTGTAGTCCTAGTTACTCAGGAAGCTGAGTTGGGGGACATGGCTTGAGCTTAGGAGGTAAAGGTTACAGTGAGTCCAGATGATGCCACTGTTACTCCAGCCTGGACAGCAGATCCAGGCCCCTTCTCAAAATTAAATAGAACAATATGACCATTTCTTATATGAAATAGTATAAGATTTAAGGTAATATTAGTAAATAATATCTTTTTACTCTTCCTTACGTATTTTCTCGTTTAATCATCACAGTTCTACAATGTAGGTGGCAAGTTTTAAAGATAGGAAACTGACGTTCGGGTTGAGAACCAGCCTAGAATTATAGTTCTGGGTCTTCTGGCTTTACTTTAGTAAGGAAAGGGCTCATACATACTGTTGACTGTGCCCTTTGTATGTAGTAAAGGGCCTTATATGTCAACCTAAGGGCTTTCTGTGGGCTATAAGAATTTTTCTGAGCTTTAGAGTTGGGTACTAATATGCTGACATTTCTATTTAAGTGAATGATTGTGGACATTGAAATGGAGGGATACTGGGGACAAGAATACTGATAAATAGGTCCTGCAGCAATTTTGAGAAACCGCAGAAGTGTCAGAGCATGTCAGCTATTTTCGTAATAGAACATATAGGATTTAGTAAATCATTAAGTTTTGCTCTGAGCACCTAGGTGTTTGTTGAATAATACAGTTTTATCCACGTAAACTTTATATTGTGTGGGTCCTCAGGGGAGCCTAAGGAAGCAATAATTAAACTCAGCTTGATATTGGATAATCTGTTAGGTTATTAATAAACTGAGTATAAGCAGTGACACAAAGTTAATAACTTATCTGCTTTAATCAAAGCAAATTTGTCTTTATCTTCTTTCTCTTCAGTTGGAAGATGCTGGCTCAAGTAGTTTAGATAATCTACTAAGTAGATACATCTCAGGCAGTCACCTACCCCCACAGCCTACAAGCACCATGAATCCTTCCCCAGGACCCTCTGCCCTTTCTCCAGGATCATCAGGTAAAGCAAACAGGGGTATTACCTTATTTTTTAAACACCTTAAAAAGAGTCTCAGTATCTTAGTCAGAATTCTCCAGAAAAACAGAGTAAGTAGGAGGTCTACATGGAGAGAGAAAGGGAGATTAGATTTATTGTAAGGAATTGGCCCATGTGATTGTGGGTGTTGACAGGGCAGGTCAGGCAGGCTGGAGACCCCCCAGGTAAGAATATTGTTACGGTCTTGAGACAACATTTCTTCCTTGGGGCATGAGGTGGGGGAGAGAACAGGGCTCCGTCTTCTCTTCTCTCTTAAAAGGGCTTCACCTGGTTGTGTAAGGCCCACCTGCATTATGGAAGATAACTCCTTTTCTCAAAGTCTAATGATTTGAATGTTAATCCCATCTAAAAATGCCTTCACAGTACCATCTATGCTGTTTGGCCAAACCGTTGATTGTCATATCCTAGCCAAGTTGACATAGTAACAGATATTTTTTTTGTTGATCTTTGTAATTATTTTTGCTCACATACTGTTGGTACTCTTTTGCGAGCTGAAGCTGTGTTAGTATGTATCTGTAGTCTATACTGTTCAGAACTCCAAAGAACTCAACCTTTACTATATTCACAGTCTTTGGTGGGTTTAATCTTATATTTTATAATACAAAGGGTCAGTTGAAGAATTCTTTGGTTTCAAGTCAACTTTAAAACACTTTGTAAAATAATGAAACATTCAAAAGTGATTTTAAAAAGCTGAAGAAGGACAGGTTAAGTTTCAAACTGTAATTTTAAAATAAAAAATTTGCTGAGAACTATTAAAATAGCCATGATATGTAACTCTCTTCCAAAATCCTCGTGGTTTTATTAACCATATTACTCAGTGATTTAATTGGGACTCTTGAATGCATGATTGAAGCAACTCCAAACAGGTTGACAGTCTAGAAGTGTTGCTGAATGTATTTTTCTGATGTGAATTAAATGTTACGTATTTCTTATTGAAACAGACCACATACTTATTTCTAGAGGAAGAACAATTCAAATGTAAATATGGTTTTTCCATGAGCTGCAACATTAACATATTTTTAAATCACGTAATTTTTAAGGTTTACTAAGAATTACTTCAGGACTTCTGAAAATAATTAATGGGAACCTGAGCAGAATATATTATCAGATAACTTGTTGGGGGATGGCAGATCATGTTTTCTTGGTCTGTTTTGTTGACTGGATAGTGGTGCTCTGAAGAGGATTCTGAGGTGATGTCTGGGCATAGCTGAGAGAAACTGGTTGATACCTGCTAATGGTTAACATGCATCCATCCCTGACTTTGTGACTAGGTCTGATTTCCAGGAATTTTTTAGCTGGGTTATAATAGTCTTGAGTTCTGTAACCAGTAGGTAGAATTCCAAATATTCTGTATGCATCGATACTCATTTTGACTTACTACTTTTTAGGTTTATCCAATTCTCACACACCTGTGAGACCCCCTAGTACTTCTAGTACTGGCAGTCGAGGCAGGTGAGTATTATGTTATGAATAACTATTTTTTTTCCTTTTGGTTAAGAAGAACATCAAATATATATAATAAAAGTTTAATATTACAATGAACCCCTGTATACTTATCACCTAGTTTTAATAGTGATCAAATAATGGCCAATCCTATTTCTTCTATACTTCTACCAATTCCCTCCTGGTCTGAATTATTCTGAAACAAATCTCAGTCATTTCACTTGTGACTGTTTCAGTATATATCCTTAATGAAAAGAATTTTAACAATTTATAACCGCAGAACCATTATCACACCTAAAACAATTTAACAGCTCATTCTTTAATATCCAGTAGTAGAGATCCAGTGAATGTTTAGTATTCCCAATTTTTGCAACAGATGCCTTTTTTTAAAAATAAAAAGTGATTTCTTTGAATCAGATACAGTTAAGCTCTATACGTTGCCATCAGTAAAGAGAAATTTTATGTCATCAACTATTGGGTTATAGGAAAGATAGGATAAATTCTTTCTGTTTGTTTCCCTGCTTTCAGGGTAATGAATTTATTTCTAACACCCTCCAACAGTGACAGTTTTATTATTACTACCTTTATGGACTCATCTATTTAAACATACTTCATATGTTTTAATCCATTATATATGTCATTTATGTATTGAGTGCTTAAATTATTCCATGTTTGGCCTGTCAGAGCTTTTTCAGGTTTGCTCCTTAGTCTTTTTGCTGTAATCACTACAGTCTTTGAAAGCTTCCATGGTTCATTTTGTACATTTCTTGCTTCAGACCTTGAATCAGCCACTTTCCCAGGAAATTCTGGTAATGTTAACAGGAAAGCAGGAAAATAGTGTTTGAGAATAATATTCTAGTACCAGTAGCACTTGTTGCTCCTGAATTGTTCATTGTTTCTTAGGCCTTTTCAGGGGTTAGAGCTAAGAAATAGGAATATGTGTATGTGTGAGTGTTAAGATATAAGTGCTTCAAACCATAAAATGTGTTTTTAGGGTCTTCTGAAAGTTTGCTGCATAATTTTAAAGAGTTCGAAGCTAGGCTTTATACCACATTCCCCTTAACTACATTATGAGATACCCTTATCTTTTATAAAGTTAGTCATCTATTGTCTTGACTTTAGTGAACATTACTTTTCATATAATTTTTATTTATGCCATATTATCAAATGAATGTGATCTTTATTTGTCGTGTCTTACTAGCTGTGGGTCATCAGGAAGAACTGTTGAGAAGACAAGTCTTAGTTTCAAATCTGATCAAGTGAAGGTCAAGCAAGAACCTGGGACTGAAGATGAAATATGTAGCTTTTCAGGAGGTGTGAAACAAGAAAAAACAGAGGATGGCAGGAGGAGTGCTTGCATGGTAAGCTCCCATGGGGTCTGACAGGGATTCAGGGCATCGCTTCATTGATTCTTTTAGTTCTGAGTATATTAAGACTGAGTAGTGGTTCTAGGAACATTTATTTATTTTTGAAATTTCATGCCTGGCACAAGCCAGATACCCTTTTCTAACTCAACTTTCTTTCAATATTTTTGCCATGATGCTAAATCAGATTGTATCTTCTTCTGAAATTATTAATTATTTCAGTAGTCACATTGAATCTCAGGCCACAAAAGATCTTTGGCACGCTCCTGGACTTGTGAGGTCAGTGTTAAGATTGCTGACACAAAAGAAATTTATTGATAGAGTTTTGTGATAGGAAGATTGTCTTTTGGCTCATGAATTACCATTTTAGAGTTCCTTAAGTGGAACATTTTATAAAATTTATCATATAGAATGAAGGAAGGCTAAGCCCCTCTTGGTTTAGATATTTTTATTTTTGTTTTCTCTTTCTGATCGGGCTTGTTTTTCCTTTTTTATATGGTTGGCACAAAGGAATTCATCTGAGGGTATTAGTATATTTAACACAGTATATGTAGATTCAAAGAGCAAGAGATTCAGTCTTGGGTTTGGAGTACTGTTACCCCTTCATCCAGAACTTGGTTTAGAAAGTACCCCCATAAAAAATGAGTGCAAAGGGTGGCGAACAATTTATTTTACATTGTTGCTATCTTCCTACAATGTAGTAAAATGATAGGTCAGCGGAGGAATATTATAGAGTGCTTCTCAAGTGCTGTGCAAAAGATTCTGGGTGTGAAAAGGAGTGTGCCATAATTAGCTCTCTCAAGAAAAAGTATAACCCTGTGCTCACTTCCAAATCAGTAGCTTAACAGTTTAATTAATTCTTATCTGAGTGAGACATTATTAGAGGGGCAGACCCCTTAAAATCACGTTAGCATGCCTGACTAATTTTGGGGTTATTGTCATTTCTTTATGGCACTATTGTGATTTATAAAATAAATTTGAATTATGTCAGTATATCTTTATGCATATTCATATAACTTTTGAACACACATACTGCATTCAATAAAGATTAAATAATTCTTCAAGAATTTTTCATTGTTTTGTTTTAGTTGAGCAGTCCTGAGAGTAGCTTGACACCACCTCTCTCAACCAACCTGCATCTAGAAAGTGAGTTGGATACATTGGCAAGCCTGGAAAACCATGTGAAAACTGAACCTACAGATATGAACGAAAGCTGCAAACAGTCAGGGCTCAGCAGCCTTGTTAATGGAAAGTCCCCAATTCGAAGCCTCATGCACAGGTCAGCAAGGATTGGAGGAGATGGCAACAGCAAAGATGATGACCCAAATGAAGACTGGTGTGCTGTCTGCCAAAATGGAGGGGATCTCTTGTGCTGCGAAAAATGTCCAAAGGTCTTTCATCTAACTTGTCATGTTCCAACACTACTTAGCTTTCCAAGGTACCAGTGAAATAATTGACTTTTGGTTTTATTTTCATAAGCTAAAAAAAAAAATGACAGAAAGTTGTTCAGGGCAGATGGACTTCTAACCTGTGCATACTATTTCTGTAAAACTGGGAGCCTGTTCTTTTGATATTACCTTCCAGGGAAATTAACCACAGAACAATAAGATATCTAAGATCTCAGTGGTACATTAATGTTAAAGAGTAGATTTCGTCTCTTTGGCCTTTCATTTATATTCAGTATAAGGAAAATAGATACAATTCTAAATTAATTGGGGGCTAAGGTTACAAAACCTGTTGTCTGGTTATAATTCTGTAGTAAGTGTCAGCAATTCACTACTTCTCAGGGATCAGTTTTTGTATCTACAAGTGGTAGGTTTTGGTTTAGAATTGCTGTAGTTCTTCCTTTCCATTTAATATTTTATGTTCATGCAGTCTCTTGTATGTGATTTCATAGACCATAAAATAGTAGGATCATGCTGGTTTTTTTCACTCTTCTCCTTTCTCTCTTATCCCCAAATTCCTTTTTAGCGAAAGTAAATCTGTATTCTTGGGGGTAAACCCAGCTTTTTTCTTGCTATAAATTAAAAAAAAAAATCTTATCTCAAATACCCGTGGAGCAGTAACAGTAACTTTAATTGAATAATACTACCTTCTTTGAAAGAGTCAACCTTTTGGATTAGGAAACTACTAGATAATTAAACTGTGTCAGAATGTTTTTAGGTAAGAGTTATAATTTCTTACGTAAGTCTTCAGAGGTGTTGTTATTTGCAAGAGGTATAATAAGGGCCTTCTTTTTCTTTACTCTTACTTAGAAAAGCAAAGCGTTGGCACTTTGATCTTGAAATTAAGAGTTTTCAGGGCTGGGCGCGGTGGCTCAAGCCTGTAATCCCAGCACTTTGGGAGGCCGAGGCGGGTGGATCACGAGGTCAAGAGATCGAGACCATCCTGGTCAACATGGTGAAACCCCGTCTCTACTAAAAATACAAAAAATTAGCTGGGCATGGTGGCACGTCCCTGTAATCCCAGCTACTCAGGAGGCTGAGGCAGGAGAATTGCCTGAACCCAGGAGGCAGAGATTGCAGTGAGCCGAGATCGTGCCATTGCACTCCAGCCTGGGTAACGAGCGAAACTCCATCTCAAAAAAAAAAAAAAGAAATAAAGAGTTTTCTTTCCTTTGGGTAGTAATATTTACTGGAATGTCAGAATTTTGCCACTGAATGCTTTCTTTCAATGGCATGCTTTGGAAGGATTGTAAAATGTTGACGCAAATTAGCCAGACACTGTGGCTCACACCTGTAATCCCAGCACTGTGGGAGGTCAAGGTGGGCAGAGCACTTAAGGTCAGGAGCTTGAGACCAGCTGGCCAACATGGCGAAACCCCATCTCTACTAAAAATACCAAAAAAAAAACTTTATCCGGGCGTGGTGGCACACATCTTGTAGTCCCAGTTACTTGGGAGGCTGAGCAAGGAGAATCGCTTGAACCTGGGAAGCAAAGGTTCCATGAGCCAAGATTGCACCACTGCACGGCAGTGTGAGACTCCATCTCAAAAAAAGAAAAACAAACAAACAGATTAGTTAGTACGATCCCGAGATTTAGAATCTATGTATTTCTCTCTATATATCTCTTTATATAGAGAGCGAGAGTGAATATAAATAAATCATTTTAGATTTCATAGTTTGATAAGAAATCCTGATAAAAACAAAGTATATACTTGGCAAGGTTAAAAGATAGGAGGTGGGTGGGCACAGTGGCTAACACCTGTAATCCCAGCACTTTGGGACGCCGAGGCCGGTGGATCACTTGAGGTCAGGAGTTTAAGACCAGCCTGGCCAATAGGGTGAAACCCTATCTCCACTAAAAATACAGAAATTAGCTGGGCAGGGCATGGTGGTGGGCACCTGTAATCTCAGCGCTTCAGGAGTTACCTGGTCAACATGGTGAAAATGCATGTCTACTAATAATACAAAAATTAGCTGGGTATGGTGGCAGGTGCCTGTAATCCCAGCTACTAGGGTGGCTGAGGCATGAGAATCACTCGAACCCAGGAGGCAGAGGTTGCAGTGAGCCAAGATCATGCCACTGTACTTCATTCTGGACGACAGAGTGAAACTGTGTCTCAAAGAAAACATAAGAAGTAACCATTCATGATGGTGCACACTTGTAATCCCAGCTGCTAGGGTGGCTGAGGCACAAGAATCGCTTGAACCCATGAAGCAGAGGTTGCAGTGAGCTGAGATTGTGCCACTGCACTCCAGCCTGGATAAGAGGGAGACTCTGTCTCAAAAAAAACGAAGGAGGTATATATACATACGCTTGTGTCTGCAGGTATGTATTTGTGTGTTTGAGGTTTTGACTGACCACGAAAAAATAACTGATTTACCCAAGAAACTCTTCTTCTGAGAAACCTTTGTTCTTATTCATACTGAGTCCACATAATGGTGATACTGGGACCTGAGAGAATTGGTCTTAGGCCTTGTGCTGCAAGTACTGCTCATCAGCTTTACGCTACTAAGAGACCCCCTTTTAGTGCAGAGGTACCATTTTTATAATGTATTCCAGAAAGTAATCAATTGATTGGTGACTAGGAAAGTTTAGAGGAGTTTTTAATCATATGACTTCACCTGATGAGATTTCACAACTATTAAACCTCCCCTTTTCCAGAAAATTATTAAGAAAATAAACTAGGCACTGTGTCTAAGGAAGTAGCTTCTCTAGAGCAGGATTTCTTATAATTACTTGGACTGATTGCCTATTTCCCTGTTTAGTGGGGACTGGATATGCACATTTTGTAGAGATATTGGAAAGCCAGAAGTTGAATATGATTGTGATAATTTGCAACATAGTAAGAAGGGGAAAACTGCGCAGGGGTTAAGCCCCGTGGACCAAAGGGTAAGTGTCAAATAAGTTGATTTGTTATTGGGATTCAGTAGTTGTCTGCCTAAATATACATCTTTTTTTTTTTCTGTGTAGCATACACAAAACGTGATACCATTTAATTTTTAATGCTGTCATCTGATAGTATATTGATGATTTCTGAAGTCTTCTTTTCTCTAACCCTGAACTATAGATTCTTCTATCCAGATTCCTCAAACTTAACATGTTCCAACTAAAAAATGTTAATTTCTAATCCTCTTTCTCAAAACACAAAACCAAGCAAGTAACAACATAAAAAACTGTATTCCTACCCCCAGTGTTCCCCTTAATTGAATGATACCACCATTCGTTTCTGTTGCTCAGGCTAGAAACCTATTAGGAATGAAATAATAATAAATATAATACCATTTTCTTCTCACCACCATTACCACTCTAGACAGACATCGTAATTTCTCATCTGGATTATTGTAATCATCTCTCAACTGCTCTCCCTGCTTCTGCTCTTGCCCTTTATAGTCTATTTTCTGTATTAAACAGTGTTCTTTTTTAAAAAGTAAACAAGTCTATCATTTCCTGCGTAAAATCCTCTAATAGCTTCTCTTCATATTAAAAATGGAAACTCTCTCCTTACTTTACTCAGATTTTTACCAATCTGTCCTGTAGTCTCGTTCCCAAAGACAGAATCTTTTGCATTGTTGTGCGGTCATTCGAGTTAAGTGTGGCTCTAGTCTGGTGTATATACTTGCAAAAACCCTCATCTACTCTCTGTAAAGACAAGATACATGTATAGGATATACAAACTTATATTAAAAGAAGTTTAGGTAAGTGGAAGACTGTGAATCTAAAATGCATTTCAGTTTACTGATGATTGGGTGGAAAATATTTTTGGAGTTGGATTGAGAAGACCATTTTTATTTGGAACCTGACTAGAGTCATTTGAAGAAAGGGGATAATAACATTTAACGTTAGTCTTGCCTGCCTAAGGAATTAACCATAAGGAGCAAGAGTGATTATTTACTTATTTATTTATTACCAAGTAATTTATAAATTTTTGCATAAATTGCTAGATATTGCTTTTGTTACTCCCTTCCATAAATTACCTTAGTTATTTCCCATTCTTACTTATTTAAAGTAGAGCAAAAGATAGTCTGAAAAGAAAATGAGATGTCAGGGAGTTTTCTTTGGGTGCTTATTTAGTTGAATATCTAGTAAATAGGGGGCTTGTGTTCAGTTTCTTGTAATCATACTTTGTTGTGATACAGTTCTTATTCTCAGGAATGTCTTATTAGGAGAAAAATATTCATGTGCTTTCTTTTCCTTGTTTGGGCCAGAAATGTGAACGTCTTCTGCTTTACCTCTATTGCCATGAATTAAGTATTGAATTCCAGGAGCCTGTTCCTGCTTCGGTGAGTTGCCTACCTTAGTAGCTCAGTGGGGAAGTCTCATAACACATAAGAGTATGGGCTCTGGCCTTACTTAGATGGCTTGTGTTACATGTCAGCCTTCTGGAATAAGCTCCTCAAGCTCTCTAATACTCAAAGTTTCTTTTCTGACACAATCTCTTACCTCACTGGGTTGTTCTGAGGATTATATTAAGATAAAGTGTTTTACATGCTGTGAGCCATGTAAAGTGTTTACCATTGGCTGTAGTCATTGACTTTTGTAGGGAATAAAGGCTCTAAAATGCTACAATAAAAGGAAGATTAGAGGTGTTCAGTGCCTAATAAGTGGGGTAAGAATTATGCTACACACTTTATTGCTAGTCATCAGCTGTTGAATACTACATTATGGCATACCAGGCCTGTTACAGAGTATTAAATGGTAGTTGACTTGTTTACTGGGTAGCCAGAGAAAGGAATTTTAAATCACAGAAGGTCTAGACCAGAAGGAAGGTGTTTTGTACAGGCAGTAATCATCTGTTTCTAGAAAGTTTGACTCGTCTTCAAATGCAGGGATTTTGAAGTAGAAAACTACTTTCAAATGTTTTCTTTTTATGGACTATTAAAATAGCTTCTCGACTGGGGGCGGTGGCTCATGCCTGTAATCCCAGCACTTTGGGAGGCTAGGTGGGTGGATCACTTGAGGTCAGGAGTTTAAGACTAGCCTGGCCAACATGGTGAAACCCCCTCTTTACTAAAAATATGAAAATTAGCCAGGTGTGGTAGCACACACCTGTAATCCCAACTACTAGGGAGGCTGAGGCAGGATAATTGCTTGAATGGGGCAGGAGGAAGATGGGGGTGGTGGGGTGGTGGTGAAGGTTGCTCTGAGCCAAAATCATGCTACTGCACTCCAGCCTGAGGGACAAAGCAAGACTCTGTCTCAAAATAAATACATAAAATAAAATAGCTTCTCTAACTTTACTTTTATCCCAAGGGTAGAAATTTTTGGCCAGGGTTGGGACCAGAATTCCCTAGCATGAATACTAAATGGTTAATAAACTTAATAAATTTTTCTTACATTCTAGTAGTCTTGCTTTCTCTGTTACTAAGTCAAGACTTCTCCATGATGTAAATGATATTCTCTGTGATGTCTTCTGAAAGACATCATATTTTAATTGTAACATTAATACATTTTGTAAATTTTTTTCTTTGTTTTTTTTTAAAAAAGAAAAACTCTTGAGGAGTCATAAAATTCTGATAAGCCAAATGTTGCCTTAAGGCTACTGGTTGGTTACCCTTGCTGATTGCTTTCTTTCCAAATCTTATTATTAAAGGTAGGACTTTGGGGACGGGGACTTGGACTAACCGTGGAGAGACTTGGACTAACCATGAAGATTGGCACATATTCTGCATAAGATCTGGTTTTCATGAAGACGTAAAGTACATACGTCTATACTCAAAATTTCCAAGCAGCTGGCTCTATAATAAATGGTTTTTTTTCCCCTAAAATTAATATGCTATGCATTTTTAAACAGTTTGTCATTTTTGGAGAATTCATATTTTCCATTATTTATTTGCTTATTTTAGATACCAAACTACTATAAAATTATAAAGAAACCAATGGATTTATCCACCGTGAAAAAGAAGCTTCAGAAAAAACATTCCCAACACTACCAAATCCCAGATGACTTTGTGGCTGATGTCCGTTTGATCTTCAAGAACTGTGAAAGGTTTAATGAAGTATGTTAACTTCCAACCTATAGAGTCTTGGTTTGTTAGTTTTTGTTTGTTTCTTTGTTTTGTTTTTTTCTACTGAAAGACTTTAATTTTATTAAATTGTTTGGTTTTTTTTTTGCTAAAGACCTGTCAAAAGTAATATCTGATTGTATTAACAGCTCCAGTGAAGAAAATTTATTGTATATAATTTGGAGTATATACTTAAATATAATAAAGAATATTATCAAATATTCTTTTCTAAATGAGTTGAGGATTGGCACAAGTATGGAAAGTACTGTCAGTAGTTAAGTATGTTTTGTGGGATATGATTATAAACAGCTTACATTTTGGGTACTGTTAGGAAAGTATCTGTACCCACGTCCGTGCATTTTATTGTTGACAACATAAATGTAGAACCTTAAAATAATAAACTATATCTCTGGTGACGCATCTTGAATAGTAGCCCAGAGTATATAATACTAAGTTTTCTTATTTCAGCAGTGTGACTTTCATTAACTTTGGTTATGTTTTTTGGTTTTTTTTGTTTTGTTTTGTTTTGATTTTGTGTGTGTGTGTGTGTGTGTGTGTGTGTGTGTGTGTGTGTGTTTTTTTTTTTTTTTTTGAGGGTAAGGTTGAGTTACCTGTGCCTTGAGAAGAAATGTGATATATACCTCTTTCAGGGAAATTGTTTTTGTTATCTTAGGGATAAATCAATTCTGTTATTGTTATGGAAGGTTTTCATTATAGGAGAAGAAAATGAAAATTTAATTAGAATTCGTAAAATCTTTTAAAGGATTAATACTAAAGTCTCTATTGCTGATGTAATTTGGGTGCCATATGATAATTACTAAAATAAATCACATTGAATACTGTAAAGTATTCCCATAACTGCCTCTGGAAGCATCTAGATGGCATTTTAAAATTAGAAACTAAACAAAATCCTCATAAGGTGAAAATTCTAAGTCACCTTTATGGTAGTATGGCACAGAATATATTAGTAAAATCTCATTAATTTGAAGTTAGAAATGATAGTCCCAAATTTTGTCTTATTTTTCAATGCAGTTAAATTATGTTCATATAAGTATGCTTTCATGAACTATAGTTGATAAGAAAATGTTATGTGCCTCAGAAATAGTTAAATAATTTATGATTAACATATTGCTGTATAGATAGAATTTTTATTAAGTGGTTTGTTGAAAGTTTGTCAGTTTTTTAAAGCAACGTTTCTTATATAATTTGCTTCACAAATATTTTTCTCTTCAGTAGATTGATGTATTCAGACCAATTCCTATTCAGATTGACCTTGATCATTCAAAATAAGACAATTATGGAGGTTTCACAGTAGCTTTAGTAACAGGGCTTTGTAAAGAAAATGGTTCCATGTTCTGTAGAATTTTAGAAAAGCACTTTATTTGGTTATAGCAATTTGTTCTCCCTAGTATGGCTGACTTTTTGTCGCCAATCCTATACAGTCTCATAACTTTAGAAAGGATTATAATTTCCCTTTTTTTTTTTGACTCTGGTATCCTTTTTAGATGATGAAAGTTGTTCAAGTTTATGCAGACACACAAGAGATTAATTTGAAGGTAAGCTTTTCAGACCACGCAAACTTGGTGAAGGAATATGCATTACCAATAGGTGAATATTCCTATCTTTTGCTTGCAGGCTGATTCAGAAGTAGCTCAGGCAGGGAAAGCAGTTGCATTGTACTTTGAAGATAAACTCACAGAGATCTACTCAGACAGGACCTTCGCACCTTTACCAGAGTTTGAGCAGGAAGAGGATGATGGTGAGGTAACTGAGGACTCTGATGAAGACTTTATACAGCCCCGCAGAAAACGCCTAAAGTCAGATGAGAGACCAGTACATATAAAGTAAAATGACATGGATTAAAATCAATTGTTTTTTTTTTTTTTTTTAAAAAAAAGACATAAAACAAAAAACTTTTAAGTGTTGCTGGAATATCCTGCCTATAGTGGGCACCTCCTTGAAGAAGCTGATAGCTTTTTACACAGTATTAGATTGAAATAATGGACAGAAACACATTCTTGTCAAGAAAGGGGGAGAGAACTCTGTTTGCAACTTTAAAAGCAAAAGTGAAATGATTCAAGGATTTCTCTTTTAATGAAGATGATTCTCTGATTGTTAGAAATAGCAAATGTTCCCAGGAGGTGGAGGTTGCAGTGAGCCAAGATCACGCCGCTGCACTCCAGCCTGGCGAAAGAACGAGACTCTGTTTCAAAAAAAAAAAAAAAAAAAAAAAAAAAAATGTGTGGTCTTGATTGGTGCAGGATATTTGGTGTACAAGTAAATTCTTGAGGCTCGTGTCACTTAATAAATTTTCTTTATGGACTAGGTCGCACAGTTATTAAAACAACTTTTAAGCCTCCCCCTTCACACACATACATATCAGGTTGTTTTCTAGTTAAAAATCCAAGTAGCTCAGATTCTACTTTAATGTCAGTGCAGATGTGCATTGAATCATGCCATTATATTTTTTTCTCATTTTGTTGCTGTTGGGTTTTAGTTTTTAAATTGATATAAAGAACTCAGCAGTGGTTTTATGTTCTGCTCATATTTAGGGTTTAGGAAACATGACCGCTAGTTATCATTTAATCAGCTTCAGTGGTCTCCTGAAATAAACATGATAACTTTTCATTAGTGTATTATTTGGAGTTACAGTAATTGTTTCCAGAAAACATTTCCTCACAATTGCACTTCCCAATCAAATCATGTGATCATACAGTTGTTCCCATGAAAGGCAGAATGTTTGTTTCAAAATTAATCTAGTTTTCTGTACATTTAAATTTGATTGAGAAGGTGACAACTGGCCCGTTTCCAGTCTTCCTTCATGTCAGTTTTCTGATAGACCACTATTGGCAAACAGTATCTGTCAACTACCAAATGTGTAAAATTTTCTGTATTTCACTTTGTCTTATTTGTAAATAGTGAACTAAAACTTTTGGCAGATCAGCAACATTTGCTGAGCCTGTTTTTTAAGCTAATGTGTATTCTTACTAATGTTCCTATCAAGAATGGATTTGTAATATATGCTGTCTATTTCTAATGTTCACATTCATATTTTGAGGTTCTATCTTATTTTAATAGAGAACAGACTTCTCAAAAGATCTTCAGAAGCAGCTTATTGAAATATCAAAATATTGAAATAAACCCGGTGGGGTTAGATTACTCATCTGTCCACCAAGTGGGACATTTGCATGGACTAGGGGCTTAAAGGACTTAGAAGAGACCTGTAAGTAAATCCTGAAAATGAGCCAATCCCCACTTGAATGGTTACTGGAGTAAACCCACCTTTCAACCCCAATTACAGCACCTGAGGCAGATAAACCAACTTGGCTCTGGTTCATTTTTCTTCTCTTCATCTGTGATGCTCAGATTGAAAATGTGTGTTCTACACTGTTACAGGTTTCTCTTTTGTTTGCTTAAAAATTTTAGTCCTACTTTTGTATGGACACATTAGAATATACAGAGACCAAAATAGAAGAATTTGCCATTAGATATTTTTAAGATGTCAGCAGATTTGTGGCAAATGATTTATTTGCCTTTTTAAAAATTCAGTTTAAGCAGTTCAGAGAGTAGACTACTCAGAAAATTATTTGACATAATTGTCTAAGAGGTCAATATTTTTTAGTGCATATTGAATCAAATAAAGTGCTCTAAAAATTATTATACAAATTCCTTTGGGTTGTTTTTCTTTTCTTAAGGGATGGGGGTAAACAGGAATATGATTTAGGGTTTCTGGTTGTGTTTTAAAATAGTATTGATTTTATTATTGCTATTGATTTACTTTAATCCTGGCTTTTCACTTTTTTTTTCCATTTTAAAAAAATAATTTAAACCTTTGAAAATATACCAAACTGTTTAAATGTTTTACTCAAATTTTAAATTCCTAAGAAAATCATTTAAAAATACTTATGCCTATGCCTGTTTCCCTCTTTTTTCTCAACATCCATGATTTTAGTTCATGAGTAGACATATCTCCAAGGGCACATTTTTGGAAAGTAAGGAATAGCAGCAGTATAACTTCATTGTGTGAGGCCTTTGAGTTTTAATGTTTTGTTTTGCTCTTCAAAGGATTCTTTTCAAAAAAAATTTGTAGATAATGAGTCATAAATAGATTCTGCCAACTGAGGGGAGAAACACACTTTAAGTAAATATTTTTCATTATTTGGGGCCTTAAAAAATAATCGTGTTCCTTAAAAAAAAAAAAATTATATATTAGATAGAGTTTTTAGGGTTTTTTTTTATTATCTTAAGATTGATTAAATCCATTTAAGAACCACTTTTTTGTCAATTTTTAATAGCTTCCATTTCTTTAAAGATAGTTTATACTGCTGAGGAATTACTATTAATAACTATCAACATTGCCACCATTAAATTAAGATACTCACTTTAGATTTTTTTATCAAAGCTTTTTTCTTGCACACTGATCATTGTATTTCTAAGCTGATTTTTTTCAGCTCTAACATACATATGGTTAAAAAGTATAAAAACTTGATATTTAGATATGTATTTCCCTGTTCATTTATATTTTAAAAATACAGAATTAAATATCTGTCAGTCCCTGAAGGCAGTTTGTTTTTATACTCTCACATTTGTATTTGTTGTTTAAATGGTAGTATTTTAGAAGATTTGGAGAAAAGTCCACATAATCATGTTTTCTTAAAAGCTTTCAGAGTTTTTGCTGTACTTCAATTTACTTCTCCCATCAGAAAACTAAGAACAAAGTGTTGCTCAGTCTGTTCCACTGACCTAGATTTGTGTTTTCAGCACTTGCCTCCGCTGATTCACTGAGTGAAGGAGTTGCTTTATAAGGCAAAGCATGTGAAAGTTCTAAAGTATGGTTAGATTGTATTCATGCTCTGTGTGGAAACATCAAAGCATTACTGCAGAGAAATGGTAAGGCAATGGATCCACTATTGAAATTATTGTTTTTGGATCAACAAGTTGCTACTTTCTGACTTCTCTATTTTAACATAAGGGAATTTTAGGTAATGCTAAGTCAGTTGTCTCATTTTTTGTTGTAACAAGTTTTGGAATTTTTAGTTAATTGAAAGAAATAATGGTTTCAAATAGAAGTAAAAGGTTTATAAGTGTGCAAGTTGTAGATTTATCAATTACCTCAGCAGGTATCCTGCCATGTAATTATTAGTGATTAGTGTTAATAAGCTAATAGATTCAGGTCTTCCAACTATGCCCTTGGATTGTGGCCTACCATACATTATTAAATGGTCTCTTACTATTCAAAACGGGAGTAGATGCTGTGGCCCCATCTCCCTTGGCTTTTACATCCCATACCCACCCCATTCATATACAACATGTGAAATATAAAAATGTCATTTCTCATCAGCGTCAGCACTGCTTATTTGCATACTCAGCATTGGATCACTGAATAGTTTTATAAAAAATCGACGCACCTAAGTCCCTTAGTTAAGACAGATTCTTAATTCATACCATGAATTTTTAATTTCTGTACCATCTATGTTAGTGATCTGCTGAAGGTGATTCAAGATTTTCAAGGTGTAATACAGTTTGATCATGTACCGGACCTGGATATTTAATTTTTTTTTCTCACAGTTATCTCCTCCTTGATAAAGCAATAACACTGCTTTAAGTCTGTTGCCTAATAGCATGTCAGAATCCTCTCCTGGATGGTGATTTTATAGGAAAGTTTGTATGCATATCACCCAGTCTATCTTTTAAAAATTAAGAAATTTAAATGTATGCTGGAAGTAATGACAATATATTGTGGCATTTTATTTTAAAAATTGGGGAAAGTTGCATATTTTTTTAAAAGTAAGTGTTTGAGTAAAAAAAATTGAAGGTACTTTTTTAAGGAAAAAAATTTATATGCCACAGTTTACATAGACATTTCAGATTCAACATGTACTCTTGAATATAATGGTTTCTTTTACTTGGTCAGAATGCATGTATAGCATTTCTTTCATCTTAGTTCCTTGTGTTTGCCTACGTGGTCCTTTATATATTTTTTATTGTATCGGAGAAACAAAACTATCTTCAAAAATAAGTTAATTTGGACATATGTGTCATATCAGATTACAAAATATACAAAATTAAGTTTAGCCCTTTTCTAGAAAGTGATCTTTAAAATTGAAAATGCTCTTCTTTTACATTCACCAAGTTTATATGTGTGGGAAGGCACCAAAATGATTTTGTAAGTGCCACTGTAATATTCCCTTTCAAGTGTGGCCTAAATTTCAGTCTTAAGGATAGAATGCATGTCTGCTCCTGGTCTGGAAAATGTAGGTATTTACTACATTTTAAAATCAGTAAAACATATACATAAGCCTATTAAAAAAGATTTGTGCAATTTGAAATCCTGTTAATTTTTTATGTAGACATACCTACACACGAAAGGGTTAAATTCACAGCCTTACTAGTTCCTTGCTTCCAGTATTTCAATTGGTCTCCTCCCCTCGTTATTATTACTACTTCTACTACTATTTTTGCACATAGTTAACTGCCCTTCAATATGATTCTTAAAAAGTGCTGTTTCTGTGGTATCGTATTCTCTAAATAATCATATTTAATTTTTTAAAACAAGGTTGCAGTTTCTAATTGTTTCGTTCCTGTGTTTTTGCTGATGTGTAATAAAAGCAAGTTTTTTTCTTTTCATGGTTATTTAATACATTAGCTGCCTGTAAATAATTATTGTTATAATGCTCTGGAATGTGTTGTAGAAGTTGTATTAGATTAGTTTTAAACCCTTGTTTGAAAGCCACATTGTTTTGGTTATTTCTATTAAATTAGAAAATTGAAAAAGTTTTCAAATGAATTTCCTTTTTTTTTCCCTCTTCTGTGGGTTGAAAAGTATAATTTTCAGTCACTTTAAAAATTTACACTATGTGCCAAGCACCAAAGATACAGTAGTGAACAAGACATAGTCCTTGCCTTCACAGACTTCAGACTCTATGTTAATCAGTGTTATGATAGGGATTAACAGAATATAATTATAATGCATAGTAAAGAATCTAACCCAAACTTTGTTGCCAGGAAAGCAATTTCATTCACTCATAAAAGGACAGTGGACAAGGCAAAGAGAGAGTGAAAAGAGAATACAATATGTAGAAGACTGTGAGTGAGAAAGAACATGTATAATTAACTGAAAGTTACTTCTAACAGTGTAAGTTGGAGTGGTAAAATAGTAAACTCAAGAACTGAACAGAGTCCTCTTCAAGCAGAGTCTTGTAAGTTATATAAAAGGGTTTGGAAATTATACTGAGGCCAACAAGGAGTCCTTGAAGAATTTTAAGCAAGATGGGGACTGGAAGGGTGAAATAATCAGATTTGCCATTTTGAAAGATATCTGTAGCAGTGAAGAATGAGTTGTGCACAGTATTAGAGGCAGAGACCCAATTGTATGCTGTAAGTAATCCAGGCAGGCCCTAAAGTAGCTATCTGGCAGTAGAAGGGGAGAACAGCAGTCAAACTTGAGAGACTGGTTTTTATTCATCACTGAATATGTCTAGCACATGGTGGCCATTTATAAACATCTAAGTTGAACTACTAGTGTAATGGTAACTAAAACACTGTAAGAGTGTGATATTGTCTAGGAAATTTATAGAACGGGAAGAGCAGAATAGTTACAACAGCAAAGGAAACAATAAGAACTAGGAAAAGAAAAAGGATTCCTATGGATTAGTCATACAGGAAGGAGGAAAGCCAGTAGAGTGATAATAGAAGATGAGAAAGAGGTTTCAAAACAGGGTGTGGGCGTGTTGCTCATGTCAGGTGTTGAAGTAAAAACAAAGTGGCCATTGAATTTGACAATATAGAAGCCATAGGTGGCCTTGATAAAAGCTATTCCAGTTTGAGCAGCAACAAGTGTACAGTGGGTTAAATGAATGAGACTTGGAAGGAATGACTGAGAACAGACTTTTTTCAAGAAATCATTTTTTAAAAAGATTATTCAGAACTGAAGGTCTTAAAGAATCAAGTAAAATGTCAGAATGGGAGTTCCTAATTGTTACTCTTCTAGATGCATTTTATGTAGTGGAAAAAATACAACCTCTGCCATTGTCCAGATTTGGGATTGAACCTTTGTTTTACCAATAGGACTTCTCTGAGTTTTCCTTGGCTTATTTGTGAAAATGAGGATAGTCTAATCTAGCTTGTGAAATTAATATGGAGATGAATTAAGATAATTTATAGCACAAGGTTGACAGACAACAAGTTCTCAACAAATATTGTTTCTTTTTTGATATCCTCTGTTGCCACAGAAGGGCAGGTTCAAAATGTAATTTCTGCCTTTTTACTGACTTATAAGAAAAGGCTTTCATACTGGAACTCAAGTCTTTCGAGTCTATCCTCAGCCCTTAAATATGAATGTAATTCTATATTAATTGATCCTTAGACTCCAAAACTCAACAAACACCCATATTAGACTCTGGACTTTTAGAGAACACTAAGTGTAAACATAAATTAGTAGGATAGAACATCTAATGGAAGATTTTTGTCTCAAGCATCCCCTTTTCATATTGCCTTGCCTCAGTTGCTGCTAAGTGTATCAGCAGTCTTTCATTTGTGAACATGTTACTATTAGAGATCTGGAAAGGCAGTACTACATATGGGCATGTGTTTCTGACAGTATGACACACTGCATGTCCTGAGGAACCCTCCTAATGGTACAAAACACCTGAAATGCTGGATGTAATTTCTTTAAAAAATGAAAATCTTTAAACTCATTGTAGAGCTAGCAAAGAAGATACCCCAAAAAGCCCCACTTCATCAACTGTGTAGCATTTTCGACAAGAACATTTGACCTTGGCATATGTTGACCCGATTAAACAAAATTGGAATGTAGGACATGTACAAGACCCCTGGTTTGGATTCTTTTTTTTTTAAAAAAAGTACAAAACAAGTAGGAAGGCTGTTCTGTATAAAACAATGCAATATAATCAATATGCGGTGAAATGCAGTATAATCAAATGTACTACATGAACTTTGATTTCATTTTGAATTAAACCCAGCCATTAAACATATTTTAGAAACATTTCAGAAAATTTGTATATGAATTCTTACATGGTATGGAATAGTTTTCTTAGGTGTGACAGTGGTTTGTGCCTGAATAGAAGAATGTCCCTTTTCTTCAGAGATGCATGCTGGAATAATGAAAGATGAAGTATTCTTTTTGCTGTTTTCCAGTAGGTAAAACTGTTGTGGGTGTATAAAGCATTTGTGAGGTAGTGCAAATGCAGCAGAATAACAGCTGGTGAATCTTAGTTTAAGGTAAATATGGTATTTTGCTGTTGTTTTAACTTCTTTATAGACTTGGGAAATTTAAAAATAAAAGGCTTAGTGTGGAATTGAACAAAAAAGCATGAATCCAGAGAAATAACAATATTAAAGAGACATTTTGCCTGACAGTTATCCCAGTCTTTTTGTTCTTGATGATGTTGGAATGGGCTGAGCTCTAAAACAGAAAGCCTAGTGGCCAACATTAATATGGACTCAAAGTGAGACACTTTTCCAAAACCTGGAACCTCAGAAGACGTTACACTCAGTGAAAGAATGCACCAGAATACGCTACCTCAGAGAGGAAAGTAAGTAAGAACACTGGATGGAGAGAAGAAAAAAAATCACCTGATAGTTTGTACCCAGAAGCTGGCAAATCAGTTTAAAGCCAAACTCATACTACCCATGTGGTTTGAAAAATTAAGCTAAGAACTTTAGGAGACCAACACGAGAGGAACGCTTGAGCCTAGGAGTTGGAGACTAGCCTGGGCAACATAGTGAGACAGTGTCTCTACAAAAAAAAATTTTTTTTTAATTAGGCCAGTCATACCATTTTTAACAAAAAAGTGCACACCTGTAGCCCTAGCTACTTGGGATGCTGAGGTGGGAGGATTGCTTGAGCCTGGGGAGTCAATGCTGCAGTGAGCCATAATCTGCACTCCAGACTGGGTGACACAGCAAGACCCTGTCACAAAAAAAGAAGAAAAAATTAAGAATTTAAAGTGGTCAGGTTTGAAGTTATTCTGGGAACTTAACAGAAGCAAATGTTAATGCATTCTTAAGATACTTTAAACAATCTCAAATAACTTTCATAGGTAGTGTTCTAATATTTTGGGACTCAAATTTACAGTTTTCAAAAATTGTGAATAAATTAAGAGAACAGAATCTGACCTGCAAAGACTACAGATATTGGAATTATTGGATTAGTGTATTTGAAGATACACAATTTCTTTTAACATCTCTAAAATTTGGATGACAGTACAGCGTTAATTTGGCACCAAATGATGTGTTTTTCAGTACTTGATGGCTTAGATTTATTGAAATACAGTATGTATAAGAAATTAAAGATTATCCAAAAATCGAGAAGGAATAAGAAAAAAACGATGGTGGTGGAGGATAAGCCAGAGCCTATGACAAGAAAAATAAGATTTGAAAACTGAAACATCTAGACATAAAAAGCAAAATGGATAAAATGACAGAAGACCAAGATGAAGAAATTATGTAGAAAGTATGAAAACTCAACACCATGGACATTTTGAAAGGACAATGAACATCTAATAGACTACCAGAAATAGATGAGACAGTGGTTTGGGATGATATTTGAGGGTATTTTAGCTGATAAAATTTCCAATTTGATTAAAGTCATCCTTGCATTTGGAGAATCAAGGAAACAAATCAATCTCTAGACCAATTCAGCTAATTTGTAGATAATAGACAAAGTGGGAAACCAGAGTGAAACTTGATAAGCAAACCACCAAAAATAATCTCTAAAAGAGCAAGAGAAAGCATTATCTACGAAGTAACAGCAGTTAGTGTGACAGCTACTTGATAATAACAACGAAAAACAGAAGAGAGTGGTATATATTTTATGTGCTGAAGTGTCAGTCTAGAATTCTGTATTGAACAAAACTGTCAGGAAAACAAGCCAATAACATTTTGGTTAAAAAGAGCTTACTACCAACATGTCCTCATTAAATGAACTTCTGAAAGTTTACTCCAGGAAACAGAAAATAAGATCAGAAAGAAAATTTAAGACCTAAGAAGAGACGGTGAGCAAAGAAAGTGGCAAATGAGGCCAGTTACGGTGGTTCATACCTGTAATCCCAGCATTTTTGGAGGCCGAGGCAGGTGGATCCCTTGAGGGTAGGAGTTTGAAACCAGCCTGGCCAACATGGTGAAACCCCACCTCTACTAAAAGTACAAAAATTAGCCACGCACAGTGGTGCTTGCCTGTAATCCCAGCTACTTGTGAGGCTGAGGCAGAAGGATTGCTTGAACCCAGGAGGCAGAGTTCAAGCTGAGATTGTACCACTGCACTCCAGCCTGGGCAATAAGAACAAAACCTCAACTCAAAAAAAAAGTGGCAAATGAGGGTAAATTAATAATGAGGCTGGTTGTGGCGACTCACCTGTAATACCATCACTTTGGGACTGTCAAGGTGGGAAGATCCCTTGAGGCCAGGAGTTCAAGATCAGCCTGGGCAACATAGTGAGACCCCATCTCTGAAAGACAAAAATTTTAAAGTAACGATGATACCAATTTTTATGGGTTAAAAAAAAAAATGGGCCAGGTGCAGTGGCTCATGCCTGTAATCCCAGCACTTTGGGAGGCCAAGATGGGCGGATCACTTGAGGTCAGGAGTTCAGGGCCAGCCTGGCCAACATGGTGAACCCCTGTCTCTACTAAAAATACAAAAATTAACCAGGCATTGTGGCAGGCGCCTGTAGTCCAGCTACTCAGGAGGCTGAGGCAGGAGACTTGCTTGAACACAGGAGGCAGGGTTGCAGTGAGCCAAGATCACACCACTGCACTCCACACCACTGCACTCCAGCCTGGTGACACAGCAAGACTCTGTCTCAAAAAAAAAAAAAATGAAAATACTATATTAGAAAATAGTCATAAAAAAGACATATGAATAAGACATGGAAAACAAAAGAGGACAAATCCAACAAACCAGTAATGTTTAATATGATGAACAATCCAATCAAAAGAGGCTGAATTTTTTGAAAACCTTTTTTCTGTTTTTGTTTTTTTAATTTCCATAGGTTATTGCAGAACAGGTGGTATTTGGTTACAAGAGTAAGCTTTTTAGTTGTTATTTGTGAAATTTTGGTGTACCCATTTTCACCAAGCAGTATACACTGAACCGAATTTGTAGTCTTATCCCTCCCCACACTCCACCCTTTCCCCCAAGTCTCCAAAGTCCATTGTGTCATTCTTATGCCTTTGCATCCTCATAGCTTAGCTCCCACTTACGAGTGAGAACATACAATGTTGGGTTTTCCATTCCTGAATTACTTCACTTAGAATAATAGTCTCCAGTTCCATCCAGGTTACTGTGAATGCCATTAATTTATACCTTTTTATGGCTGAGTAGTATTTCATCATATATATATCACAATTGCTTCATCCACTTGTTGACTGATAGGCATTTGTGCTGGTTCCATATTTTTGCTGTTGAGAATTGTGCTGCTATAAACATACATGTGCAACTATCTTTTTTGTATAATGATTTCTTTTCCTCTGGGTAGATCCCAGTAGTGGGATTGCTAGATCAAATGGTAGTTCTACTTTTAGTTCTTTAAGGAATCTCCACACTGTTTTCCATAGTGGCTGTACCAGTTGACATTCCCACTAGCAGTGTAGAAGTGTTCCCTTTTCACCACATCCATGCCAATATCTATTATTTTTTTATTATAGCCATTCTTGCAGGAGTAAGGTGGTATTGCATTGTGGATTTGATTTGCATTTCCCTGGTCATTAATGATGTTGAAACCCTGATCCCACTGTATACTATGTACAAGGGACACGGTTTAGTTTCAAAATAGTAACAGATTAATGAAAGTAAAAGGATAGAGTAAAATATGCAAATAGCAACTATAGAAAACGGACTATAGAACAAAATATTAAAGGACATTTTATGATAAGGTTAATCCCTCAGGGAGATATAATAATTAAAAACATATGCACCTAATAATGGAACACCAAAATACATGAAGCAGAAACTAAGAGAGAAATTGACACTTCAGCAGTAATGGTTGGAGACTTCAGTACTCTGCTTTCTATAATGGATAGAACAAACAGACAGAAGATCAGTAAGGAAACAGAAGACTTGAACCACACAGTAAACTAACTTACCTAACAGACATCTGTAGAATACTCTCAACAAACAAGAGGATATACAGTCTTTTCAAGTGTTAGTGGAATGTTCTCTAGGATAGGTTTATATGTTAGGCTGTGAAGCTTCAAGTTTAAAAATACAGAAATAATACAAAGTATGTTCTCCAAGTACAATGGAATGAAATGAGAAATCAATAGGAAGAAGTTTGGGAAACTTGGAAATATGTGAAATTATTAAAGCATTAAAATACTCCTAAGTAAGTAATGAGTCAGAGAAGAAATGAAGGAAAGTCAGAAAATAGTTAGATAAATGAAAATGAAGACACAATGTAACAGAACTTCAGCTAAAGCCCAGCTTACAGGGAAATTTATAGCCGTAAATACCTATGTTAGGAAAGAGTTAAAATAACCTACCATTCCTTCTTAAGAAAATGGAAGAAGAAGGAAGGAAATACAAGTAGGGGCTGAAATTAATGAAATAGAGAAAAACCAAGAAAACCAAAGCTGGTTCTTTGAAAAGATCAACAAATGTGACAAACGTTTAGCTAGACCAACAAAAAGAAGACTCAAATTACTATAATCAGAAATGAATGGTAAGACATTATAGAAATAAAAGTATTATGAGAATAAAATGAACAATTATATGACAATGTATGAGATAACCTAGATGACATGTATAAATTCTTAGAAACACACAAACTATTGAAAGTGACTTGAGGAAATAGACAATCTGAATTTACTTAAAAGAAGTAAAGAAGTTTATAAAACAGTCTGGGTGCAGTGGCTCATGCCTGTAATCCCAACACTTTGAGAGGTCAAAGCAGGTGGCTCACTTGAGGACAGGAGTTTGAGACCAGCCTGGGCAACATGGTGAGACCCCATCTCTACTAAAAATACAAAAAGTAGTCAGGTGTGGTGCCACGTTCCTGTAATCCCAGCTGCTGAGTGGCTGAGGCATGAGAATCACTTGAGCCTGGGGGCAGAGGTTGCAGTGAGCCAAGATTGCACCAGTGTACTCCAGCCTGAGTGACAGAGCAAGACTTTGTCTCAAAAAAAGGAGAAAGGAAAATGTAAAGCTATATATTTGCAGACAGTCTTTATCTAGAAAGTTTCGAAGAATCCACTAAAAACTATTAGAACTAGTAAATGAATTTGAGATTCAGGATACAAGATCAATCATATTTCTACACACTTGCAATAAACCAACTGAAAGTGGAATTAGAAAAATAATTTCATTTACTATGGCATCAAAAAGATTAGAAATAGTTTAACAAAAGAGGTGTAAAATTTATACTCTGAAAACTGCAAAGCATTACTGAAAGAAGAAAATCTAAATATTTGGAAAAATATCTTGTGTTCATGGATCAATACTCAAACTCATATACAGATTCAGTGTAATTCCTATCCAAATCCCAGTGGACTTTGTAGAAATTAACAAGCTGATTCAAAAGTCCATATGGAATTGTAAGAGACCCAGAATAGTAAAACATTCTTTAAAAAAAAATAAGAAGACTCACACTTCCTTCCCTCTTAAAATTTACTACATAACAATTAAGACAATCTAACAGTGGCACAAGGACAGAAATAGATCAATGGAACAGAGTGGAAAGTCCAGAAATACTCATCCCACAGAAAGGAAGAAAATATGTGGAAGTCATATATCTGATAAGGACTTGTATCCAGAATATATAAAGAACTCTTAAAACTCAATAATTAAAAGTCAAATAACCCCATTAAAAATGCACAAAAGATCTGAACAGACATTTCTCCAAGGAAGACTCAGCTTTCCAAACAAAACCCGATAAAGACAGCAGGAGGCCAACTAAATCTGTCTCTATTCTCTTCCCCCTCCCCCCTCCCCCTTTTTTTTTCTGTCACTTCAAAAGGCAAATAAAAAGCTTTTTTTATCCTTTAATATTACATTAAAATCCTGTTCAAAAGAGACAGCTGGCTGGGTGCGGTGGCTCACACCTGTAATCCCAGCACTTTGGAAGGTGGAGGAGGGCAGATCACTTGAGGCCAGGAGTTCGAGATCAGCCTGGCCAATATGGCAAAACTTTGTGTGAACTCTGAATATCTGAGACAGGCCTCAGTAAATTTCGAAAGTTTACTTTGCTAAGGTTAAGGATGTGCACCCATGACACAGCCTGAGGGTCCTGACAACATGTGCCCAAGGTGGTCAGGAACAGCTTGGTTTTATACATTTTAGGAAGACATGAGGCATCAATCAATATTTGTAAGATGTACATTGGTTCCATCCACAAGGTGGGACAACTCAAGCAGGGAGGAGGCTTCCAGGTCACAGGTAGGTGAGAGACAAATGATTGCATTCTTTTGAGTTTCTGATTGGCCTTTCCAAAGGAGACAATGAGATATGCGTTTATCTCAATGACCAGAGGGATGACTTAGAATATTAAACAAAATGGGAGGCAAATTTGCCCTAAGCAGTTCCCAGCTTGACTTTCCCTTTAGCTTAATGATTTGGGGGCCCCAAGATTTATTTTCCTTTCACATTTTACCCCTTTTAAAAAATATTTTGGAGAAAACATTTTATAAGAAAATGAACCTTTGGTCTCAGGTTTTGTATCTCTCATGGCTAGGATGGTTTATTCTTAGAGTCATTAGGAAAGCTCATTTTTAGCAGGTTGAGAAGTCTCATGTTCTATGAAGAGAAAATAGGGGCAGGAAAGGAAAAACAACAACAAACAAAATAACAATCCTGGAAAATTAATATAGGCCACATTACTCTGAAGTCCATATATCAGTAGGCAGATATGAAAGTGGCTTATGTATGTAAATAGGTGCTTTTATTTTCTTTTGAAGTTTAAGTTGTCTAGATTTGGTTTGCAGGGATTTAAGAAAGCATAGCTTAGTTATCAGAGATACAAAATTGGGAAAAATGAGGGGAGGTGAAGGAAAAGAAAGGAGAAAAAAATTGAAAACATTGTTTTGGAGACTTGTCTCCAGGAAAAATTAGAATTCAGTTCATACTGTGGAAAATAATAAAAACTGAAAAAACATTATGCAAGACTATAATCTAACAATTGTTATAGTTTTTGAATCACAGTATTTCTCCAGTTTCCAGTTTTTACTAAAGAAAAATCATAGTAGGACCAATTTGCTTTATTATAGTTGGCCAGATTAATTCTATAAAATGCAGCAAGAATAATTTATTTTTGAGATGTGATTTTGCTCTGTCAGCCAGACTGGAGTGCAATGGTATGGTCTTGGCTCACTGCAACCTCTGCCTCCCAGGTTCAAGTGACTCTCCTGCCTCAGCCTCCCAAGTAGCTGGTACTGCAGGCACATGCCACCATGCCGGGCTAATTTTTTGTATTTTTAGTAGAGAGAGGGTTTCACTATGTTGGCCAGGCTGGTCTTTAACTCCTGACCTCGTGATCCACCCACCTCAGCCTCCCAAAGTGCTGGGATTACAGGTGTAAGCCACTGCACCTGGCCAAGAATAATTATTTTTTATATAGGCTTTTAAAATTGGCTTGATGGAACTTTGTTCCGTGGAATCTCAGATAAGACTTTTTAAAGCCAATCCCAGCCATGGATTTGTACCATCAAATCCGAGTTGGATGAATTCTTCTCTTCTTGAGGTCCCAAGATAACTTGGGGCTACTAGGCCTATCAGAATGTGGCATTCTTTACTTACCACAGGTCACGAACCCTCTACAGGGACTATGCAGACAAGATATGAGGCCAGATTTCCCAAAGGCAATTTTATTGGCTCTATAAGTCAAGTTTAATTCCTTACAGGAAAGTACACCATTCCAGTCAAAGCCTTGTTAAAATAACCAGTTTCTCCAATTGTGTCCTATTTCATTTAGAAATGAAAAGATTCTTATTGTACTTACGCAAATAACTATATTGCTATCAGTCAAGAATGCTCACAAATAGTTTCCAAATTCTGGAGAAATCAGGTAGAAACAAATATGCTTCAATTTGTTTTCATAGGAGTATAATTGTTAAAAGTTGTCAATAAAAGTTTCCTTGACCCTGAAAAAAGGATCAGCAACATTTTAAGCAAAGTCAAAAAGATTGCTTCGGTTTTCTTTTACCTCAGTCTGTGCAGTTAATTCCTGTTCTGCTTGATATTCATGAACATTTCAGCTCCCCATCAGTCCAGAAGTTTTTCCTCTAATCTGATATCACAATCTTCCAAGTTGTCGGAAACCTGCATTCAAGACCTCCTGTTAGAATTTTAGAGCTGATTATAAAACTGCCTTCTAAAGAGGACCCAAACAAGATAACAATTGTTTGCAGATGACAAAAAGTTTTAGGGCAGCCGTAGTCAAAGACACAATTGACAACAAAATTTTTTGCCTCTGTGCCACACAATAATTTAACATAATTATAATTACTATTGATAATGTATACTAAGTCATATCAGAATTATAGGAGTTTCCCATAATTTTGGAACATATACCAATAATATATATACAAATACAGCCCAAAGAAAACCAAACACCATTTCAAATTTGACAGTGCTTTCATTATAATTTTTATACCACATAAGCCAACTATATCACTTTTGGGCTTTAGGGAATCTAATATGTTAAAGGATTAATTAGGTCAGAAAAAGATATAATTTATAATTTGATTTTTTGAAAGTTTGTCAAATATCAAATGTTTAAAACACTTGATACCACAAAATAGGATCAGAGATCATTGTAAAATAAGTCATTTAATCAAAGAGATAAGGATTTAAGAAAAAGACAAAAACTTTCATTCTTTCAGAGAGGAGACTCAATTTTCCAAACAAACCATAATAAAAATGGCATGAAACCAATTAAATTTTCTTTCCAAAATCTTATAAACAATCTATAAAATTTAATCTTGACCATAAGATATAACTTTCATGAGCCTTTTATAAACTTTATAACCTTTATTAAGGAGTTGGTTAATGCTTCAAGGAAACTTTGTTAATATTACACAGGAACCATCTGCTGGTCTTGCATCAGTGTGCCTTTGACATTAATCATTAATTTACAGAGAGACTGAGCTTACTTTATATCTCAAATTGGCCCTCACAAGCTCTCATGCCCACCTCTTCTGCAATAGTCTCAGGGACTATTGAATAGTCCCTGAGGAGTTGAATAGCTTTAATTTCTGACCATGTATGCAGGAATGCAGTTTATATTGATTGGCATCTTCTACCATGCCTAAAGATGAGGCTTTAATTACTGTCAGGGTTTAAGATTTAGCAGAACTTGGTGTCCTTTTTAGACCCAGAAGTCAAAGCCCTGTCATTGAATGTCATAATGAGTTTAAAAGTATATAAAGATACATAGATGCAGTAACATTAAATTAAAAAAAAATTTATCTTAGTTTTTTTTTATAAGCAAACCAAAACTTAATAATAATGGCATAGAAATACTTTGATACAATATAAAATCTGTTAGGCCAGTTACCAAAAGGAAAAAGAAAAGACCTTCTGCAATGTACAGAATATTATGTTGGAAGAAAATATTTCCTTTAGACCTTTAAGAAAACATTTTTAATATCAGGCCACAACAAACATAACTCGAGGCAAAAAAAGTTTGTATGAGCTGAAAATGAATTGAAGGAGAGCATTTCTATTTCACGCCTTTTAAAAGGAGAGGGAAAACCAAAAACAGTGAGATGTAATAAAAGTTGAACTTTAAGTTTAAAAAAACTGAAATCACTTATAATTTAAGAGTGAATCAACCTCTTAAGAAAATTTTATTGTTCTAATAAATTCTTTAGTGTATAAGTGGTTTTTTAACATCAAACCCAATCTCTAGAAAGACCATTGTAATTGCCTTTAATTATAGACAACTTGATCATATAAGGTTTCTGTTGTTGTTTAATAAAGCCTCTTATTGTGACTTACTCAGACTATTCATAACATACTTGGACTTAATTGTCATAAATATCCCTCTTTCTTAAACAGTCATTTTATTCTAGGACTGCCTTTACCATGCAAGATTCTTTCTTATATAAAATTATTTCTTTTTAAGTTTTCTTACCAAAAAATGCCTCTTTATTTCCATAAGTTTCTTTATATCTCGGGTTCCTTTAACCTTGTTTTATACATACCTAAATAAGCTTGGAATTAGACACTAATCGTTCACCTTTTGAAAAAGGATATTTTTTTGTTTTTGAGACAGAGTCTTAGTCTGTCACCCAGGCTGGAGTGCAATGGTGTGGTCTCGGCTCACTGCAACCTCCACCTACCAGGTTCAAATGATTCTCCTGCCTCAACCTCTAGAGTAGCTGGGATTACAGGAGAGTGCCACCACACCTGGCTAATTTTTGTATTTTTAGTAGTGACAGTGAAACTGTCTCAAAAAAAAAATTACACAAGCAAAGATCATTCTGTTTTGGGCTGGACTTATAGTTTCATAACCCCTGTGCTAAATTTTGACACCTTACGATATTTGCCAGGGATAAGTATGGTATTGCTTGATCAATAAATGCAAACAAAAATGTATGCTGGCAATTCTTAAGACATTTCTAACATTACCAATAATTTTAAAGCTAGCTTAATTATTAAAGATTTTACTTAAGTCACATAAACTTGAAAGAGCATTTGACTAGTCTTTCCTTTTTTGATAAAGTATTTGATTTAAGAACTTTTATTTTCTTTGAGTCAATTAATTAGACCTCTTTTCTCTGCTTTTAGAAGTGAAACATTGTGTGCACAATACATAAATACATAGCCGTATTAGGCATATTGATAGAAATACATCTTATAGATTCCTAAGACCACTTTTTTTTCCTACCTTAGACTTTCAAACTCTTGATAACCTGTTTCATTACCCTGGCAGTTGTCAGTGAAATAGCTGTAAATCTCCATATTGGAGGAAACAACTCTTAGATGAAAAATCAGATAGCAAAATTTACATCTCGAGGTACAGAGAGAAAAAGTCTGGTGGTGCTAGAGGGAGATTAAAGTGCATTAAAAATTTTTTTTTAACAAAGACATTTCTAAGTGTCTAAATTATACTCTTTCTTAAAAATCCAACAGTAGTCTCTGTTGCAATAACTATTTTAGTCATAAATCAGGTAACACAATACAAAAGCAAGCAGTTTAAGAGCTGAGATAAACCTGTCTGTTTACACTCCTGGAGTTCCAGAAGAAAAAACAGGTTTCGCCCTCAAAGGGAGTCTGGCACTTTCTCCATTTTCTTTAAGGAACTTCAGGCTATTATAAATTATTTTAGGTCCCTCATGCAGCAGAGGGTTGAAGAGAAAGGAGAGACAGCAGAAATAAATGAAGAAAACAGAATTCAATCAACTAAGAAAAACTTTTGCTCAAAAAAGAAAAAAAGACAAGGTCCTCGAAGAAAAAAAAAACCATGAAGACCTTTTAAATACAAACACACACACATGCACACATATACACACACACATCTTGGATGTTAGCTTTTAATCAAGCTGACTTTTTACCATTGAGCTCCTTTAAAAAATATTTTTAAACCTCATTACCATATTTCAGCTAGGACAAATTGCTGCTATTAATATTTAAGAAATACCAAGTATTTTGATTTGCAGTAGCTTTGAAAAAATAAAAAAAAGTACCAAGTATCAAACTAGCAAGGGTTTGATTTAGGATCCAAACCCAGGTTTTCCTGGTGGGAAGAAAGAAGACAGCACTCTTAGCTATGGAACTTCAGCAGGGGCAACAGCCATTGCTCTTTCAGATTGGCCTGGCTAACAAAAACGTGGCCTTGTTATGTAAAGAAAGCCCCTTAAGTAGTCAAACGCAAAAATCTTTCCTTTTCTTCCCCCTGTTTGTCTCCCCCTACCACACCACCTTTGTGTCGGGGCCGGGGGCCGGGGACGTGGGCTTTAGCCACTTCAGAGGCCTTGTTCCTCATAATTTGGAACTTTCCTTCAGATTTGATCAAGTTAAATAGAGCTGATCAAACCCAATGGGAAAAAGACTGAAATAACAACAAAAACAGAAACGAACACCACCAGCAACAAAAAAACAGTTAAGCAAAACTAATGATGGCACAACTTACATGATCACTGAGTACCCTAATGGTAAGGAGAAATTAACACCTGCTGGTTGTTAATCTTAACCTTAGCCAAGACAAACTCCAATTCAGTTACTTACCTAGGGATGGGTCTCAGACTGAAGACTGCATTCTACCATCCTAGAAGCAGGAAAAAAACTCAAATTCATCTTCCCTGTTGGAAGCGAGCTCAAACTCCATAAAGGAGTAACCTGCCTTCCATTGTCATGGAAATAGGAAAAACTTGCCTTCCTTGTGTTGGAAGCAAATACGATTCCCATCCGCCCCAGCTCCCACCCCCACCCCCACCACCCCTAAGAAAGGAATTGTACAGCAAAATAAAGTTTGGATTTTGGGAGATCAGGGATTCTCTGGAAGTGATGCTTCCCGGCCTCAGCAAATTGTCCTATCGGTTTGAGCCAAAAAGGTAGCTCAAGCTGCTACCAAGTACTGATAGGAGACTTGTCAAGGGCACCTCCCCTCAGAATCTCTGTGGTCGTCAAAATGTGAATCCCGGGTATCTGAGAAAGGTCTCAGTTAATTTAGAAAGTTTATTTTGCCAAGGTTGAGGTTATACACCCATAATACAGCCTCAGAAGTTCCTGATGACATGTGCCCAAGGTGGTTGGGCACAGCTTGGTTTTATACATTTTAGGGAGATAGGAGATATCAACCAATACATATAAGATGTACATTGGTTCCATCTAGAAACATGGGACAACTCAAGCAGGGAGGGGGCTTCCAGGTCACAGGGAGGTGAGAGGCAAATGGTTGCGTTCTTTTGAGTTTCTTATTAGCCTTTCCAAAGGAGGCAGTAAGATATACATTTATCTCAGTGAGCAGAGAGATGACTTTGAATATTAAATAAATCGGGAGGCGAGTTTGCCCTAAGCAGTTCCCCAGACTGACTTTTCCCTTTAGCTTAGTGATTTGGGGGTCCCAAGATTTATTTTCCTTTCACATCCATCTTTACTAAAAATACAAAAATTATCTGGGTATGGTGGCACATGCCTGTAATCTCAACTACTTGGGTGGCTGAGGCATGAGAACCACTGGAACCCAGGACGTGGAGGTTGCAGTGAGCTGAGATCACACCAGCCTGCACTCCAGCCTGGGCTAGTGAGACTCTGTCTCAAAAAAAAAAAAAAAAAAAAAAACCAGAGAGAGAAAGCAAGCCAAATTTCACCTTTGCATTAGTATCCTGCTAATGTTAAACCCAATTTTTATTAAAACCTTATTCCAAAACAAATCAAGTAGCAAAGAAGAAAAAAAAATTAAAAAAAGAAAAAAGTGATAAAAAGAAAAAACCTTATAATGTAAAATTTTTATAAACCTTCTATAATCCTTTTCAATTCTCTGTTCAACAGTAGTCCGACTCTCAAACACACATTGTTATTTGAACACATTGGCCCGGGTTCTGGCCCTCCATCAGTGTGCTGTTATGTTTAAATTATGGAAGAACTAAGTAATCCCCTTCAAATCTTAGCCAACTTGCTCATACCCACAGAATTTTTTTTATAAGATCAATCTTTCACAAATCTTTTACAACTTGTTTAAACCTTTAAGTTTGTCTTATTACCCTTTTAGGTTAGGACAATCCTTAACCTCTGAACTAGAAAAAATTACATTTCTACAACAAAAACCACATTCTCATGCCTTCTTGAAGCCTTTTGCTGAAAGCAATTCAGGACAGAAAATCAGCAGCTCTCCATGGAGGGGGAAGTAATCAATAAAGGGCAAACGTCCCACAACTATCAGCACAGAAAGGGCTTATCCTCAAAGCCAGGAAACTAAACCGAGGCCCCTAATGTAAAAGTGTAAAACCTTAGCTACTGAACTATAGCACAAAGTGACTACTATCACTTTTCCCAGAAAGAGTCTAGAGCAGTTATTTTGAGCTTGCAAAAGATTTTAAGTATTCAAGAGAATTAAGTCTAGACATGACATTATCATATGCCCTTTTTAGGATAAGTGGCTTGCTAAACTAATTCTAGGCCAGATGCTGTGGCTCTCACCTGTAATCCCAGCACTTTGGGAGGCCAAGGCGGGCAGATGACCTGAGATCAGGGGTTCAAGACTAGCCTGGTCAACATGGTGAAACCCCGTCTCTACTAAAAATACAAAAATTAGCCAGGTGTGGTGGCAGGCGCCTACAATTCCAGCTACTCAGGAGGCTGAGACTGGAGAATCGCTTGAACTCGGGAGGCAGAGGTTGCAGTGAGCTGAGATTGCGTCGTTGCACTTTAGCCTGGGTGACAGAGTGATACTCTATCTCAAAAAGAAAAACAAAACTAAAAAACTAATTCTACTTATATGAGGAAGAAATAATACTTTACCCAATCCCTTCCAAAGAAAGTAAAAGAGGGAATATTTGCCAAATCATGTTCTATTCTATCTTTTCCAAGGCAAGAAAACCCAACTGACGAAGTGACTTAAAACTTTCATTCTTTGCTGGTTCCATAGACTCAGGGACCTTTCTTTCATGCACAGTCTCTCCGTTCACCAGATCTCATCCTCTAGTGCCTCATTAGATTCTGTTTCCATTCCTCCACTTCCACATGCAGGAAGTTTTTGCCACATTTCTTTTCTCTCAAATCAGGCCAGAACAGATGTTTCGGTCCGCGCATAACTTCTCGTATGTTAGTTTGCTCAAGAGGTCATGTAACGGCTGCATCTCAGACCTACAAGATACTGACCTAGTTTGGGTGGGAATGTACATAGTGGAGGTCAGAAGTACCCATCATGGCTGAAAGGCTGATTCCTTTTAATTCACCCAATAAACCGCTACCTGCATTTATTTTTATGTTTTGTTTTGAGATAAGGTCTCACTGTTGCCCAGGCTGGAGTGCAGTGGCGTGATCATGGCTCACTGCACCTTCAACCTCATGGGCTCCAGGGATTCTCCCACCTCAGCCTCTCGAGTAGCTGGGACCACAGGCATACATCACTACTCCTGGGTAATTTTTTAGTTTTTTTTTTGTAGAGACGGGGTGTCACTATGTTGCCCAGGCTGGTCTCAAACTCCTGGGCTTAAGCGACCTGCCCACCTCGACCTCCCAAAGCGCTGAGGTTACAGCTGTAAGTCACTACATCTTGGCAGCTTCCATTCTCCTGAGCATCAGGACTCTATCACTCTAGCTTTCTCTAATGTCTTCATCCGTCTACTAAACTCCTTGTCAGCTGGCCCACATTCGGAGGATTTCGTGAAAGTCTTAAACCATACATTCTGTGGATTCAGCCATGCTGAATTGTAGTACCTGGCAGGAGAATTTATAACTGTGATAAGCAAACTGCTATGACTACTCCCAGAATTCTAAAAGGAGACTGAGCTTGGGCAGCCTGAGTGATTTCAGAGACATGCACTATCTCATAGGCGGCGAGGAGGGAAAAGGCTCAGTGTCCATGACAGACACTTTCCTGGGTTTGAGGCTGCAATAGTAGCCCCTATGCTGAAGTGTGGGTAGTGAGAGGATGCCTGGTGTTGCTTGGCCACTGAATGTTTCTGTCCCACTGAAGTGGCTGCTGAAGTATAGAGTGGTACCGCCTCTTCATCCTCTTCCAAATCTGAGAGGTGAAAGACAGCAGTCCCAGGTGTTCGGGTAAAACTTTCTGTGACAATACCAGGTTGTGGGGTCAAGAACGGTTCTCAAGTTTGGTTAAAAAGCCATTGAAAATGGTGATCCTTCGAGGGGCTTGACAATTTGGAATTTTTCTGGCATAAAACCTGGAAGGGATCAGCACTACTGAGGCCTGTGATCCCTGACTGGTCAGCGCAGACAAAGGCAAGGCTGGCTGTGGCCAGGCCCTTCTTCCCGGCCATTCAGAACATGCATCTTCTGCTCCCATTCTTCAGCAATAAAGACAGCAGCAGAACTAAGTTTCAGACAATATAGACCATGTTTTAAAGATATTTAGCTATAACGAGGAAGAGAGAGAGAAGGAGGTATGAAGGGGGATAGTTTGTTTTTTAATGAGATAGTTGATCCTGTTCGAAGATGGTATGAGGGACCAACAGAGGAGAAATTCAAGACTGAAGAGAGTGGGGATAACCAGCGGAGTGAGTGTCCCGGGTGGGGTCGGCCCGGAGATGTGAGACTGAAGAGAGCGGGGATAACCGGCGGAGTGAGCGTCCCTGGTGGGGTCGGCCAGGAGATGTGTGGGAGACAGGATCCGGAGCACAATGGTAGGATTTGCTTCTTACTTACCCCCGTGTTCTATTTTGGAGGAAGAAAGCTTCCCTTAAGCAAACCAGACTAAAGGAAAACCACAGATGGCCTTGCACATCTTAATATTTCTTTATACTTCAGGCTGGCTTTTGTGTGTTCATGCAAAACTGACATGATCAGAAGGCCTTACCTCCTCCATGTGAATGTGGAGTTTCTTCATGTTGCTGCCTTCTCCAAGCCCTCCCATCTCTGTCCCCGCCCAGTTCCGGTGAGCCTCCTCCTCCTCCCTTACAGCAGGTTCACTGCCCACCTTACTGTGGTACTGTCTGCCTGGAGGCTGAGGTCTTGCCTGCTCTCCTCCCTTACTGAGCTTCTTCCCCTGCAGGGCAGGGAGGTCCTCCTCACCTCCTCACCCGAAGGCCTGCCGCCGAGTACGTATTTAATGAATGCGTCCCAATCCGGATGAAAAGAAATCTCATTCCATTAAATTACTGATTTCAAATTGAAATTTTATCATTAGTTGTGGGTGGCAACCCTGACTTCTTAGGCCCAGTCCTCTCCTGTAGGTCTCCTAGAGAAAGACATGATTGGGAAGAAGAAGGGCTTTGATAGCTCTGCCTTCCCCCTCTCCCCTTGGCTGCTCAGTGGAGCTGCCTCTTGAGAACTGCTGAGCTGCCTGCCAGCCCGCCCATGCAGCCTGTCAGCTCCCATCTGCCAGCCCCATCTGCTCTTCCCCAGCCACACTGCTGTTCAGTGCTGCTGCTGGGCCCTCTCCCATCATCTCTGGCCCAGCCACTACCTTGCTGCCTCTCAGCCTCTCCCCAGGGAGCTGGTTGCCCTGACTTCCTTTGCACCTATTCTCCTCCTCCTGCCAGTTTCAGCTCCCCACACTGACTCATTCCTCTTGCAAGGGGTCTGAGGCTCCACTCTCAAGCAGTCCAAAGGAAAGAAACATGGAGTCCTGCCCTTTCACCATACATGCCACCTCCAACTCAGGCAGGCAGTCTCCCTGCTGAGGCCAAGGAGGGCAAGACCTGAGGGTCCTACCACAAGACAGTCTCCTTAGGTGGGCAGCAAGCTCCTAGGCTGGGAACAGAATCTTACTGCTCAACAGAATCTCAGATATCAAA